TGGTGTATGATGAGTGGTGTATGATGAGTGGTGTATGATGAGTGGTGGTTGAACAGCTGTTGAACGTCCGTAACACGGAAGTTTTGCACACTAAACTTCCTTTGACTAGTTTTCAAACCGGAGCAGAAACTCTAGCTTTCAACCGAGGTAAGAACATAAAGAGGTACTTCTACCGGACACCGTTGTATGGAGAGCAAGCAACCTGGTGATTGAGGGAAGCAGCAGCTCAGAAGCCATGTCAGTGTAACTGTAGTGTTTAGTGGAAATGAGAGGAAAAGGATCCATGAATGTTTGAATGTCATGCAATGTTCAAGCGTTTTGCTCAGCGTGGTGCAGGATTCTCTAGAATCACCGGGCTTGGAGATGGAGGAAGTTCAGGACGAACCCAACATGCCACAAGATGTTGCCGCAGATGAGGTTCGTCGACTAGAGGCTGAGCAGGATCAGCAGTCTGAGCAAAAGGCGTGTCCGGTCCTATTTGGTTCTCGCCCGAGGCCACAAGCCCTTCGAATGCAGCGCAGAAAGAGGACGCGCAGTGTTTTTTTTAATTTGCTGTTTTTTAGATGTTATATCCTTTCAGTCTTTTAGAACATGAGGATCAAACAGTTTTTGTCGAGGGGTATCAAACATTGAAGAGTTGTTGTTTTTCTTAGGTTCAATGTTCCATTCTCCAAAATTTCAAATGCCAAAGGTCATCCACATCATGCAACATTCCAGAGTGACAAATATATTCAGGTCGCTTCGAGACAACAACCGCCTGCGCCAGTGGCTGTCAGAGAGAGGGTAAAAGAAGTCTCTAGAATCACTCTATGTTTAGACCCTCTTACAAATGGTTTAGTTAAGTTATGTCTTAATTGCAATGTGCAAGCATTGTTCGATCTACTTTTTGACACCCTTGAAATTGTACATTTTCAAAAGGTCGAAAATAGAGTTACTATATATGTACAAAAAACTCTACAATGTGCTTGATCGAGACAAGGCTTGGAGATGAATGCAGCTGCGGTTTCTGCTCCTTTCACTAGTATTTACAAACATATATATGCCCGCACAGAAGGTGCTGGGGCATTAAACTGTAACTACGCGTGCTTCAGCTACGGGGACAGCTTCGTTTGGGGGTGAAACTGCATATTCCGCATGAGTGGGGGAAAACATGGATTTCTCGTCATTGTATCATTTGCATCACCAGCTCCATGAAAAGGACCTCTCAGCAGTCTACGTCTCAATACATGTTGCGTGCTGGCATCATAGGCAACAGCTGGTTGCAATTGTATATGCGCACCAGCTGGTTGCAATTGTGTCGTTATTGGACAATTAGAATAATTTGGACGCCTTGAAAAATGCACAGTTTCAAGTTTCAAGGTGTCCAAATATATATCCAACGATACTTGCAAGTTGCAAATAAGACATAGCTAAACAGGTTGTAAGAGGCTCCAAAAATAGAGTGATTATAGATACAGTACTTGTTTCATTGTTTTCATTGTCATCCACTTCATTTCAATCGACGTAAGAACATAAAGAGGTACTTGTACTGGACACCATTGTATGGAGTGATTGAGGGAAACAGCAGCTCAGAAGTGATGTCCAATGTCAGTGTTAGTGTAGGGGTTAGTGGACATGGATGGAAATGGCTCCATGAAAATCTAAAATGCAAAATTCCAGCGTTTTGTCCAGCATGGTGCAGGATTCGCTGGAATCACCGAACTTTAAGGTGGAGGAAGTTCAGGACGAGCCCAACATGCCACAAGATGTTGTCGCAGATGAGGTTCATCGGCTAGAGAATGAGCAGGTTCAGCAGTAGGTGTGTCCTGTCCTATTTGGTTCTCACCCAAGGCCACAAGCCCTTCGAACGCAGCGCCAAAAGAGGACGCGCAGCGCTTTTCTTTTAGTTTGCTGCTTTCAAGATGTTGTAAGTTATATCCTTTCAGTTTTTTTAGAACATGAGGATCAATAAGTTTTTGTTGGGGTGGTATCAAACATTGAACGAAAAGAGGACGCACAGTCGCACAGTGTTATTTCCCCAGGTGAGAGTGGCTAGACTTTAGCAGAGCTTTTCTCCTCTTCTCCTCTCTTCCCTTCGACTCTTCTCCCCTCCTCGTCTCCTTGACTACCGCACCTCAACTGCCAGCTCCAGATCGCAATGGGCCATACTACTTCAATTGTAAGTGCATGATTGCAGTGGGTGCTCCCGGACCGCCCCATCAAGCCCCAAATCGCAGTGGGCACTACGGGACCTCAAACAGCAAGCGCCAGATCGCAGTGGGCACTACAGGGCCTCAACCGCAACCACAACCACAAACACACAGTCGCAAACACACGCGCACAATCACAAACACGTAATCGCAAACACAACCCCCAAAAAAACGCAGACCACAAAGCGCAATCCAAAAGACATACGGTCGCAAACACAGCCGCAAGCAAGCGACCATAAACGCACAACCGCGCAAACGCGACCACAAGCACGACCACAAAGACGACCGCAAACGCACAATCGCAAACGCACAATCTCAAGCGCAGAACCACAAACGCACAATCACAAAAACGCAGCCACAGCCACAAGCGCACGACCACAAATACAAACGCTAAACCACAACCACAAACACACAAACGCAAACAACCCAAACAGCCACGACCGTAACCGCAATCACAAACACCACAACACGCAACCACAACACACGACCACAACGCACAACCACAACACACGACCACAACACACAACCACAGCGCACAGCCACAGCACACAACCGCAACACACAACCACAACACGAGCTCAAACACGACCACAAAGACACAACCCCAAACACACACAACTACAATGTTATAATTACCTCTGTGTGTGTGTCGCTTTACGCGAACTCCCTAACACTAAAAAACAACAATCCTGAACCCGAGGACCCACAAACAACATCGAAAATTAAAACCATTTAAAACCACAAAACTCCCGACCATGGCAACACGCTCCTCACCATGGCATAAAAACAGTTGATTGAAATGTCATGCTGAGGATTTTGGAACATTCGGATCAATAAGTTGTCAAAAACTGAAAGTGAAGAATCACTTTCGTTCTGAGGTTCAATGTCCCATTCCCCAATGTTTCAAGCAATCATGGTCATCCACATCGTGCAGCATTCCAGACAGGCTGCTTGCGTATACTAGTTTGGGGAGAAGCTGTAGTTTTCAATCGAGATAAGAGCCTAAAGAGATACTTGTACTGGACACCGTTGTATGGAGTGTTCAGGGAAACAGCAGCTCAGAAGCGATGTCAGTGTTACTGTAGTGTGTAGTGAAAATGGATGGAGATGGATCCATGAATGTCTATGATGAAATATTCAAGCATTTTGCTCAGCATGGTGCAGGATTCCCTAAAATCGCCGGGATTGGAGGTGGAGGACGTCCAGGACGAGCCCCACATGCCACAAGATGTTGTCGCAGATGAGGTTCATTGACTAGAGCGTGAGCAGGTTCAACCATATGAACAGAAGGCGTGTCCTGTCCTATTTGGTTCTCACCCAAGGCCACAAGCCCTTCGAATGCAGCACGAAAAGAGGACGCGCGGCGCTTTTCTTTTAGCTTGCTGTTTTTAAGATGTTATATTGCGAATTTTTCCCTGCAAGTGCAATGGGTTGCAATGGAGTCAGAATGCTGTACATGCTATGCACATTAGCTGTGGTTTACATTGAAAAAGCTTCACACTCGTTCTTCGTAGTGTGAGCGACCGCCTTGCTATTTACAGCTCACTCTGCCACTATAGCCAATTCTGTTTCTATCATGTTTCTGCAGGCTTTCTCTTTTATCTAAGGAACGGGATTCCCAGAGATTCTTGGTGGCGGTCTATCTGGATTGTCTTCTTCTCATAACTGCACATTCTAGCAGCTCTTGATACTTCTCCATTTCACTTTCAACTAGGTCTGCTACCTCTTTTAGTCCTCTTCCTAGTAGACCCCAATGTCTTTCATGGAGTTGCTCCAGCTTTGGTTTCAGTCGACCACACATTTGGTTTGCTTTTGCTCTACCTCATACTCCACTCTTTTCGAATGTTCTCTATTCCCTGCTCTGAACATTCTGTTCAATGGTCCTTCTGATGGGGTTGCTCCGTCCATAGCTGCCTGCAACATCACTCGGTAACCCTGATATTGTCCTTCTGTTGCTCTCATATCCTCTACGCTCCTTCTGGCTAAGAAGTTTCCTGGATTCATCTCACCTAGTACATCATAACTGATGACAGTGGTGTTTGTACTTCAACAAAGCCTCCATTGAGAATCAATCCACAATGCATTCTCCTGGCATAGTGTGAAGAATGTCTGTTCTCTCTTCAAATTCTTCACAAGCTCTGATCCTATTTTCTAGTCTTTAGAAGCTGAATTGGGTTTCTCGTGCTGAGAAACGAGTAGCTTCCATAGTTTTCGAAAGCTGTATAGTAGCATTCTCAAAATGCTTGTAGAGTTTCCATAGTACAAAGGCCACTGCTGCAAAACCAATGATGTTGATCGCAATGATCACAACGATCCAGAACTTCCAGCTTTCATTGGATCCCTTCACTTTTTCCATCCCACGCTGGATGTTTCCTCTCTCTTTCAAGAATGCTTCTGTTACCATTGGCTGCAAGCCCTCAAATGCTACTATTCTCACAATCATCTTGGCAATCTGGTTGACCTTTCTGCAAAGTTCTCTTTCTCTTCGAACATCTTTCTCTAACTCCCTTCTACTCTTGTTTGCTCTTCACTACGCCAATACCCAAAGAGGTTCATCAAGTATCTGATTCTTTGCCCTCCAAGTCGCTTGATATTCATGCCTGCCATGTTGCTATCTGTTGGTACTTGTGCCATCTTGAAGTCTTTACTAGTCTGAGTCCATAACAACTTTCCACCCAAATGTCTAACTTTTCCAACTCCTCTCTTCATCACAAGCTGGCGCGCGCTTGAAGAATCTGTGAAGACATAGTGGTCCACCTTTGCCCCAAGAGCAAACTCAAGAACTGAGCGAATGCAGATTCCATCTGACGCTGAAGAAACTATTGCGCGCAACTCTGCTTCACATGAAGATAAGCTAATGATCTTCTGTGTCCTGCTGCTGTTGGACAATGGACAACTGTTCAATGTATGGAATCCTCCTGAAGCTCCTGCTTGTGCAAGTTCAACTACTAGACAATAGTCCATAGTCTTCTTCAAGTATCCTGGGAACTTCTTCAAGCGGTGAAATGACATTTGTAGCTGTTGGATTTGACATTCTTGAAGCCAATTCCTTCACTGTAAGTGCTACATCATACCTTTCTTGGCATAGGTAGATTCCTGATCCAGCAATGCTTCTGAAAAGACTGATCGTCTCTTGTTCACGCAAGACTTCTGAAGTTTCTTCCATCTGAATTGAGTTGTCTGGTGGTAACAGCGGAAGTTTGATCTTCCCAATCTGCTCTTCATAGGCTTTCGGCATCTACTGAATGTAGTTGGCTGGCGGCTGATAGAACGCCGCCAGCTTTTCTTCACGTTTTTGCTTTTCAGTTGATGCTGCATTGGGGATGGGGGTGGGGTGGGGTGGGGCATGTTAACGTGCGCTGGCACTTACGTCATGAAGTTGATGCTACGTTGGGGATTGGGGTGGGGTGGGGTGGGGCATGTTAACGGTCGCTGGCACTTACGTCATGAAGTTGATGCTACGTTGGGGATTGGGGTGGGGTGGGGTGGGGCATGTCAACGTGCGCTGAAACTTACGTCATGAATTTGATGCTGCGTTGGGGAACAGGGGTGGGGTCGGGTGGGGCATGTTAACGGTCGCTGGCACTTACGTCATGAAGTTGATGCTACGTTGAGGATGGGGCTGGGGTGGGGCATGTTAACGTGCGCTGGCGCTTACGTCATGAAGTTGATGCTACGTTGGGGATGGGGGTGGGGTGGGGTGGTCTCTTGGCATGGCTCTGACACTCCTGCTTGTGTGTACGAACACTTGACGCACTTGTTGACGCACTTGTGGAAGCAAAGGTGACAAAATGAAGTAATTTGTCCGGACGTTCTGGGTCATCCATTTTCACATGAAAAGAAGAATTCATTGTAAAAACCAACGCGAGAACAACCTGTCATGATGATAAAACGAAGCGGCGTTCTATCAGCCGCCTACCGTGTAGTTACCTGGCTGGGCCCAAAGTCCATCCTTCTCAAGCTTGTACTTTTCTCCAGGAAGTTAAACTCATCACCAAGCCTCTCAATTTTGCTCACACTGGTGCCAAACCTGTCTTGAATCTTTGGAAAAAGATTTCATTGATCTACTTTGAACAACCTGTGAAAATCAAGTCATCCACATGAATCAAAATGATACTCTTTTCATTTCTTCTTAGGCATGGACACTCAGCACTGAACTTGTAATTTAGTTCCTCGGTGGGGTACTCTGTGAAAAAGTCAACCCATTCTTTTGCGCAAACTCTTTGCCCAGGTAAACTTATCATCGCCAAGAATTCTTCTCCTCTCAAGTTCACTTTCAATGGCTTCTCTTGTGGAACTTGCAAAAATGCATCTTTCACACCAAAACATCCTAGCATCTGGGAAAATGCGCCTTCTCCCTCTCTTGCTTCTTCCTCCTCACTAACTCTCTGCAAAAATATTGCGGGAAGCTTCGGTACATGTCCTGAAGTCGCTGGTGAAAAAATGTCATCTCTTTTCCCTGAGTCTTCTCTTTCACATCTTGGTTGCTGTTCCATCTTCATGGCGGTAAGTAAGATTTCTGTCTCCAGTCATACACGTTGCGTGTTGTCAGGAAACTGGTTCCTTCTGCGCTACCTTCTGGTCTCTCTAGCACCTGCATCTTCTGGAGTCTTTTCTCTTCCACTTCATCAGCTACTCTGTCTATCCATTCTTCCAGATCTTCTTCTGGTTCATGTTCTCCATCACACCGCAAGCATTCAGGTCCATTCACTTCATCATCTTCTTCCCAGTCTTCTTCATCAACTTCTTCCGCAACTGGGGGCAGTTCTTCATCTATATGATAAGGATCTTCACCTGCAACTTTCACCAAATTGATCTTGGCTTTCTTGCTTGAACCATCTGAGGGCCTGGACTTCTTCATAGGACTTTCTTCAAGCAATTCAACGGTCTTGAAGGCACTGATGGTGATCTCAATGAAGATCGTAAAGGAGTAACTGGATTGGGTTGCCCTGCTGGCAATGATGTGGATGGAAATGCTTTCACCTTCCCAAGTTTCTTCTCATCTGCAAAGAGAACTTTCTGCTTCTTACTTGGTGTTTCTCTTCCACTTAGCTTCCTTTCGCCTCCATCTCTCTTCGTTGCTTCCACAGGGATTTCCAGCGGGGCTGGAATCGGCGTTGGTTGTGGGAATAGTGCCTCTTCTTTCTCTAGTCACTTCCTCCTTCAAGAGCTTTTGCCATCACTGCCTCTGCATCCTCACCCTTGAACTTCAACATCACATGCTCTCGAGGAATATCTGTTTGTGCTGCTTGCCATGCTTCTGCTCTCCTCTTTGTGGCAATGATTCTGCCTCCAAAGTTTGGTTGGTATTCCCATGAATAGGCATTGAAGTTTTTGTAGGTTGATAAATATCTGGGCCAATCCTGATCTGTTCTCCTGATGCACTTACTCAGCACTCCTGCACACCATCTGTCAGCGCATAGGCATTTTGCCTTTCAGCGTTTTTGAAGAACAAACATAGACGCCATCTTGTTTTTCCCTTGTTGATGTAACCATGAACTGGTTCACCATACTCAGCCAAAAGTCCTTTGTAACTTTTGCCAGAGACAAGTTCATAGGGAGTTGCACCCTTGACTGGCTGAAATCTTTTCAGCGCTCAAGTGTCTTGCTGCCCAAGTCCAAAGTGCATGATCTGATCCTATCTTGATACCACGTCTTGACTGCACGCCTTCAGTGAAACTTCCTGCGTTTTTCTCACTCTGTCAACTGTGTTTTCTGACAGAAATGAATGATCTCCAAGCTTTGGAGTGATCAATCTTGTAGTGAGTCCTAGACTGTGGCGAGCATTGATCAGCATCTTGAGGTTTTGTATTGTTGTGGGTTCATTGTCAATCCTGTAGGTGATTGCTGAATACCCCAACAATTGACCTAAAATCATCTATTCTCGCGCAATTTGGCGAAATTGGTTCTTGCTTCCTAATGGCGCAACATGAACGAATCCAGTCTGGCTGTCAGTTGCAACTAGCCAACATACTGCTCTTGCTGACTTTGTCTCTGAATCCCTCGGTCTTGTGTGGCAAAAAACAAAGCTTGCTTCAGTGATACTTCCTCTCTTCACTCCATCTGTTCTCTCAGGGCTAATGCCTCTCCTGTCTCTTGAGCTTTTGCTTCACGCACCAAGCTTTTGGCGTTCAAGAGGTCCTATTTCTTGTTGTGATTGAGGCTCTTTGTCTAGTCTAGACCTTTATATAGCTTAAAGCCACTGCCTGAAATGCAGAGAAATGAACATGCTGCCCTGAAAGTTGCTAAAGAAGAATCCGTCAATTCTATCATTCCATTCACCAAGACTTTGTCTACATCCATTGGTCTCAATTGTAGTTCACACTCAAGGTCCTCGTCTTTCTTTTCTTCTTTCTGACCTTATACCTCCTTCTCCGGTGGAGTAGGGGTGATTTCTTCGATTGCCTGCTCCACTTCTTTCTTTCTCCCTTCTCTGTTCTCAAGCATCTTTTATCCTGGTGCAAAGGATCTCATATCTTCTGGTGGTGCTGGCTCATAGCTGAAGATTGTGACTGAAGGAATGGATGCACCACCATCAAAGAATTGCTCAGCAGGTTCTTCCTTTCTCATCATGCTTTCACAATATTCAGGCATTAGCCATTTACTTCCTCTTTTCACCAAAGTAGTTCTCATCAACTCTGGTGACTCTTCCACTTCTGGAATGACTGTGGGGCCCACAAAAAAATCTTGAAGTCAATAAGCTTCCAACTACCTCTCCAACCTGCTGCCTTTAAAGCTTCAGGTACTTGCGCAGCTTTCATCTTCATATCTGATGACTAATGAGGCCTTGAACTGTCAAAGAGTGATTTTGCAAGTTGAGTAGTACCTTCATGTCACCAGTCTCCAACATTTGCTCTCTGCTGTTGATTCCCCAACCATGCTCCATCAGTCTTCCATAGCAAAGTTTGGGCTGGTTCACCTTTGAGCTGAAGATCACATTCTATTTGAGAAGTACTTCGTGTCCATCAAGGTCACGCAAGGAAATTTCAACGCTTTTCGCACCCCCGGTGGGGATACGATTCCCCTGCGCATCTTGTAGCTGCGTCTTTGTGCTGAACTCTACTTCACATTCCCCATGATCTGCCATACTCAAAGGAAAGGAAAAACTCGTACATCAGCTCCACGGTCAATAATGATGGCCATATCTTCATTCTCTTCCCCAAGTCTCCTCACCGTGGGGTCATCATCTGAGATGTCAATCTCCTCGAGTTCTTGGGTCTCTGGCTCATCATCATCATCATCATCATCATCATCATCATCATCGCTAATGTAGAAGTGACTCGAATTCCATGATCTTCTAGCTCAGCATCCCTTTCTCGCAAGTCAAAGATGATTGGCTCTCACTGTTCTCAATTCTCCTGACCACTGGCTTGGTCTCTGCTGAGCTACTCTGCTGGCTAGCGTTCGCATGTTGTTGACCAACTGTGTGAGTAGTCGCTGATGCCCTGAAGATGAATGGGCTGGATCACTTGCTACCTGTTGAATATTGTTCCTCCAACAGTCTTCTTTCCACAAGTGTAACATGTTGCCACACCACGCCTTTACTTTTCTGGTCTTTGCCTTTACCTTTGCCCTTCTGATCACCTTCTGTTCCTTTCTGATCTCCTTTCCTTTCCTTCCTTTGCCCTTTGCATCCTTACCTTTGCCTTTCTGATGGAAATTCTCGCCATTCTTATCCTTTCTTTTGGCCGCTTGGACTCGATCAATGTCCATTGGATAGTCTGTACTGCTACTTGCCGCCATGGGAGTAGCCCACTTCTGCTGAGAACGATCCCATTGCCACACTTGTTCCCTCAAAGCTGAGTATTGAACATTGTCGCCAACGGTCAAATTCAAGTGTGATTTGAGTTGTCCACCTACACATCTCACAAGAATAGCAGATTTCAACTCTTCTTGAACTGTAGTCCCTGCCTTGACGGTCCCATCAAATACTTCTTCAAGCTTCAGAAGTTGAGGTTGTAGTGCGCTGCTCATTGAACACGCTGGCCATGTAGTGGCTGCTCCCAAAAGTGCTAACCCTCTAGCCTTTGAAGTAGGTTTCAATGCTTTGTTCAAACACCTCCAGGCATCAACTCCATTGGAGTCCTCCACAGCTTTCACCAATTGCAGTGCTCTTGGGTGATAAAATGTTGTGAGCGACACTCTGTACCCCGTACGTTGTGTCAGAAAGACACTAGTGCACAGTGGAGATGGAGGAGATCAGAAAAATCCTTCAAACTATAGCACGGGTTGGTCAAAATGGCTAGCAAAGCCCAGGGCCCAACATCTTTGACTACAAGTCACAAGAAGAATAAATGAAGGCATTTAGGAAGTGGTCATGGGTTTTTGAGAAATATTTGAGTGCAGTTGATGAGGCTTACATCGAGGACTTGAAGGAAATTCATGAAAAGCCAAATGAGAAGTTGGACATGGACTTGGCAACTACCGAAGAGAAAACCAGGTGCGTCAAGCTCTATGGACTGCTAGCTTCATAGGCGCCAAATCTATGGCTCGAAGTCGCACCCGGGATCCCAGTGGCCTAAGGGCTTGTCTCTGGAACTCAAAGGGGGTTAGCCTTATCCTTGCTCCGCTACCATGCGAACTTTTCCTGTCAGAATGCTGTACAGGCTATGCACGCTAGCTGTGGTTTACACTGAAAGTGCTTCACATATTATATCCTTTCAGGCTTTTAAGTTGAGGATCAATAAGTTTTTGCCGAGGGGGTATCAAACATTGAGGAATCCATTCTCCAAATTTTCAAGCACTGAAGGTCATGCACATCATGCAGCGTTCCAGAGTGACGCCTTGGTATATGTATGTTTCTATATAGAGAGTTTGCATACATATATATATATATATACTAGTTAGGGGAGCAGAAACTGTCAATATTTATAAGCGTTTTGTCCAGCATTGCAGCATGGTGCAGGATTCGCTAGAATCACCGGGTTTGGAGGTGGAGGAAGTTCAGGACGAGCCCAAAGTGCCACAAGATGTTGTCGCAGATGAGGTTCATCAACTAGAGAATGAGCAGGAACAGTATGAGGAAAAGGCCTGTCCTGTTTGTTTTCACCCGAGGCCACAAACCCTTTGAATGCAGCAGGAAAAGAGGACGCACAGTGTTTTTTTAAATTTGCTGTTTTAAGGACACCTGATTTGGAGTTGGGGAAGATACAGCACCGCAATAGTTTATGGAAAAGAGCGTACTGCGGGAACCAGTGGCAGGTTGAAATGAACATATATGGGAGCCGTTGGAAACCCCCGTATAGAGACAGGCTTTAGAGAGGACATGTCATAAAGATTGATCAGTTTTTGGGTTGTTTTTACCTGGTATGCGCAAGAAGGCGCAAGGGCGAGCGAAGGTTTATATATATACATATATTGTTTTTATCTATATCTATATCTAGTACTAGTACTATCACTACTACTACTACTACTACTACTACTACTACTACTATTGCTACTACTTTTCTCATTTCCAGGTCGGGCGCGCCACGTTTTCTTGCTAATACAAAAACAAATAGAACAGTCAAAACATGCAAAAACCCTCATAGGCGCAAGAAGGCGCAAGGGCGAGCGCAAGGGTTTTTCAGCCTTATGCCCTGCAACTGAATAAGGAACAACCCCCATATATATAGATTGAGAAACACCTGGTGTTTGTCGAATTTTGTTTCTCGCGTCACGCATGCAGACTTGTATGTTCGATTTAGATGGATGAACTGAGTAATTACACCTTTGACCTTGATGTTTTTGTGTTTGGCTTCATTGACTTAGGAGACTACTTTGTTGGTTGAAGTCCCGGAGAATGCCACGGACTGGCAGGCACGTGGACTTTTGGTTCATAGCAATGCTGTTGAAGGCTCCTGATTGTGAACAGTCATGCCAGGTTGAAACTCTTGACAAGTTCTTGCAGCTAATAGGAGGTCGCGTTGCAAAACGATCCCCTTGGCAGAACCAATCAGGCTCGTTTGTGTAGTTGACAAATATATACATGTATACATACAGACACATACCGATAGATATCTACTGGAGAGGAAGACGGCAACATGCGTGAGAGATATAGAGGGAGGGAGAGCAAGAACAGTCAAGACATAGCTGAGAAGAGAGAGAGAGAGAGGGAGAGGGAGCAGGCACAAGCAAGTCATTTCCGACTGCCTCAGCTACGTGTTGACATTTTGTCAGATGCTGCAGTTTGTTTGCCTGAAATGAATTGTTTCGAGGTAGAGACGGCTCTCAACGCATCATCCAACTTGCAGATTTGGTTGTGAATGAGAGTACAAAGCCACCAGAGTTGCCCGCCTCCGACCAAATGGATGTAGTTGTCCGCTCAATCACTGCGGAAGGTTCGGGTGGAACTCTGCATCTTTGTGTTCCAAAAGACGCCAATGTTGGAATGATTCGCGAATTGGTCACTCAACGTTGCGGTGGAGGCGGAGTGGCTGCTCACATCCGCATGGTGCGGCGCTTTACTGAAGTTCTTTTCCTGCCTGTGGATGACAGTGAGCCAGTTGAGGAAGAAATGCATCTTTTGGGTATCGACTTGGAGGGCGTTACGGATGACGAACCTGATACAGAAGCAAGAGCAGAAACAGGAACTGCAAAATCTGAATCGATTGGTTTGCTCGTTGCTGCAATGGAGCTTCTTGAAGACTCAGAAGTTCAAGAGCGCTTGCAGGAAGGACTGGATGCAGACAGCCATGAAGTTCTTGCGGGTTGGGAGCCGCCTTGGATGGCTGATGGATTTGACGAGCTTGATAGTTGCACACTCCAGACAGTGGTAGCTGGCACGATTCACACTTGGGCTGAGAGTTTCTCCCAACTTGTTGAACAAATGACAACCGCTGCTGCTGCTGCAGCTGGAGCTGCAGGTGTCAACCACGGTGATGTCCAAGAAGAAGATGATGAAGTGTTGGCTTGTGAAGATCAAATGGGGGAAGCAGATGATGATGGAGCTCTGAAGCTACTTGAGACACGTTGTGAAAGAGGTAAGCACGAGGAGGCAAGCGGCGTTTTGTGTTGGCTACTTCCTTGGAATGGCAAATGTGACAGATTGTGATCACTGGATTCAATAGATACGACATGATAATGCATCCCTGTGAGTTTGCTCCGGCATAGCTGTGACTGCCATTGACCACCTGTCCTCAGGGAGACGCCGAAAGTGCCATCAGTGCTATCCAGCAGCAAATCGAGCAGGCGCACTTGGCCATACGAAGTGCAAGATGTGTTTCAATGTTTCAATTCTGGTCAAATTGGGTGTTTTGATGGAACGAGTGCAACACGAATTAGTAGACGGCCAGTTTTCATTTGTTTGTTGCACTTAGAAGTGCACTGACTTATACAAGCGCTTCTTTGGGGCTTTGGGGAGTCAGACTTGACTTGAGCACGCTCTAGCCGGATATTTTGGCCCTTGCCGAACTGTCGGCGACTTTCCTTATCATATCAGTTCACACAGTCTCTCAAAATGACACCCGGACCACACACCATTTACTTTGGACACCCGGTTGACGATAAAGTTAAAGCTACAGTGTTGCGTGATGATAGGCCATCTCCACGGGGCGACGCACTTGGAACTGCCACTATGTCACTATGTATATCCCGGGTTGTTGAATAACCGTTATTCAAGAACTGCTGGAGTGCAAGGGGTCGTGTACCGATCCATTGTTTGTTTCGTGTTTGTTGCATTGCCACATTGAACTGCTTTTTGTTCGTGCATATTCCTTCCCTGGAAGGACTACAGAGGCCCAGTCGCGTAATGATAATTAAGGGCTCGCGCCCAACAGCGGCCAGCGAACACCGAGGGTTTTGGTGGTAAAGCTAGAGTAAGAGGAAGGAGCAATAATGAGTGAACAACTACAGTCAAGGCAAGCAAAGCTAGTAAACTGCTATCCCGCAACCGAAACGAACATGTATGAAAAACACTCCAAAAAGTCAAAGTCAAAAGTATTAACAAGTGTTCGGCTTTTCCACTTGTCGTTTTTCTTCTACCTTTGGACTTTTCAGTTTGTTTTTGTGTTTTTGGACTTTCTAACTTTTCGTGCTTTTCGGATTTTTGTTTTTTGTTTTTCAAATTGTCCAGTCTGGAAGTGGACACCGTCGACTTTTTGGATTTGTCGCATTTTTAGACTTTTCGAGCGACATATTTGTTTTCACACTCTTCGATTTTTCGACTTTTCACACTTCTTGATTCAAATGACCGCTGCTTGTGTTGAAACAGATCGCCCCTATAGGTGAAAGAAGGCTTTTGCAAGCCCTTTTGTGCCAAATTTCACAGTTTGGGGATGTTTTGGGTAGTTCACATGAAACAAGATTCGTAATGATTCATAATATTTTAGAAGGTTGGGCTGAAACCAATACCATGTCACCAACACTGACACTAGATTCAGTGTGGTCCTTGCTTTTAGGTTTGTGGCGTAAACTACACGCGTACTGCAAAAGGCTCAACATGGACAGAGTGGCAGCATAACAATCTCAATCAGATTGAACATCTGAACCTAAAACATACTACAGCAAGTATAATATATATACATATATAGTTCCAAATAACTCGCCAGAAGTTATGAATCCAACACAAGTTATAGTTCCAAAAAACTACAACTCCCCAACACAAAAGCCCGAGCCACGAACAAATTATAGTATAACTCCCCAGCACGAAAGTCCGAGCCATGAAAAGTTAGAAAAAACAACAACATCACCCCAACACAAAAGTCCAAGCCATGAAATAAACATTTAGACCCCAATACGCAAAACCAACCCCCCACAGAATGAAAATCCGAACCTTGAAAGAAATGAACTATGCCCCAAAAAACATGATTCCAAAAACAAGGTATAGTTCCAAACAAATAACTATAACTGCCCAACACGAAAGCACGCGCCAAGAAAAGTTATAGTATAGCGCCAACCCAGCCCCGGCATTAAAGTTTGAGCCATCAAAAATAACAAAAAGTAAGTTATACCAGCTATATAACTCCCCAGCACGAAAGCCCGAGCCAAGACAAGAGGTATAGTTCCAAAAAAGGAGCTATTGACAAACGTTATGATTCCAAGAAAGTTATAGTTCCCCAAACAAAGACCGATGGCTTATGATTATGTTTTCGGAAAATTGTCATTACAGAAATCCAGGGAGAAATCCTTCGAATGGATACTTTGTGTTTCATTTCTTTTCATTTCTGTTATGCAAAATTGACACTTCCATGACAGAAATCAAGCAAACAGTATCCATTCGAAGGCCTTTTTGCTTGACTTCTGTAATGAATGTTTTCTCAAAAAACAAATCATATAGTTGCCCACGATTGATCAGTCGCCTGGTGTTTTCATACGTTTCACAGCAGCATTGTCGTCGTTTTCACGGCGTGGTGGTCGGTTTCATCGCGTGGTCGTCGCTTTCATAACATTGTCATCGCTTTCATAACATTGTCATCGATTATATAGTCGTGTGATTAAAGTGGGGTGGGGTGACGGGGGTATGTTGCAGTCGCATACATGTACAACATACTCGACAGCCCTTTAGCTGCTCAAAAGTGAAGCTGCCTGTTTGCATGGTAGCGGAGCCGGACCCAGGGCATCCGGCTCCAGACCCCCTGTCAGCCTCGATAAGGCCTTTCCAAGGCGCGAGCGTGGGTGGCATTCGGCTTAAGTCCCCGTCGACATAGGGGCGGCACGCAGCGGCATGGACGGCGCGGCTCCTTCTACACCTCCGCAGGCCTTCGCACTACATCCTGGAACCCCTCGACGGCAAGATGGACTACAAGCCATCCCAGGACGAGGCCATGCAGCTGGAGGTGGAGGACTGATAGACACAAGGGCGATTGGAAAGCTTCGGTCGTTCTCGGGCAAGGAAGAAGATTGGCCATCCTGGGCTTTCGTGGCCAGAGGATACCTGAACCTGCTGGATCCTGGCTACCAAGCTTTGATCTCAGCATTTGAGCAGGTGCAACGCTACAGCGACATCGTCCTGGCGGAGCTCGGGCAGAATGGTCAAGAGAAGGCCGTGGTGCTCTTCAACCTGCTGACCCAGAGCGTGGAGGGTCGAGCATTGCAGATCATGATGAATGTGGAGAGCGGCAACGGCTTCCAAGCATGGAAGGCCCTGTGCGAGAACTACGAGCCAGATGTTCGAGGCAGGCACACTGCCATGCTGTCCGGCATCATCGCACCTTCCTGGGAGAGCATCAAGGAGAATGACTTCCTGGAAGCTTTGGAAAGCTGGGAGGTGCAGATCCAGCGCTATGAGGTCCAGAGCCGAGAGCAGATCTCCGACTCCATGAAGATTGCCGTATTGATGAAGCACGCACCTATGCCCCTGAGGAATGCTTTGAGGACTGCCGGAACTCAGATCGGCGCCAACTATGAGCGGGGCAAGAAGTTTGTGCGTGACTTCCTCCTGACAGGCCAGTTCTACACCGCCAAGGGTGAGGTCAAAGATGATGGAGGTCCACAGCCTATGGATGTTGGCGCTGTGGAGTCCAAGGGCAAGAAAGGCGGCAAGCAGGGCAAAGACAAAGGAGTCAACAAGGGCGGCAAGCATGACAAGAGCAAGGGCAAGGCGCAAACGAAGAAGTTCAATGGTGAATGCTCCTACTGCTACAAATGGGGGCACAAGAAAGCAGACTGCCGACTCCTGGCAAAAGACAAAGCACGTCGTGAAGGTGGAGGAAAAGGGACAGGCAACAGCACCAATGCTGTGAGTTCATCACCATCGAATGCACAGCCCAGCAGTCCACAGTCTGCCACTGCTGCTGGGAGCACCAATGCCGTGTTCTTTCGAATGGACGCAGGTGAAGGCCGAGAATCTTGGGCCGACGTGATGGAGAACTTCCCCATCGAGGAGGACTATGATGAGGACAAGTGGGTGATGATGATTGAGCGTCACCATGGACGCACTGGCAAGGGCATCGACACTTGGCACCTTGCAGGACAATACCAACTCCGTGAACGAGAGAAATTCGTGCTTTGGGATTCAGGCAGCGATGAACACCTCTGTCGACCAAGCTTTGGAGGTGACAAGCGCAACGCTTCTTCATCAGCCCAGTTGCTGGGCATCTCAGGACAAAGCCTCGGCGAGCTCAAGGTGAAGAGGGTGAACTACAAGATCGTGGGCGAGAATGGCAACAAGCTGAATGTGGAGACCGACTTCAAGGTCAGTGAGATGGCAAGCAAAGATGGCTTGAGTGCAGGGAATATGAGCAGGAATGGATTCGTGGCTGACATGCGCAACAAGTTCAAGCCCTTCCTGACCCATCCAGATTTGGAGTTCAGGATTCCGCTCTACCTGTACTGCAACTCCTATACTACATCCTCATTGAGAATGACGAGGCCATCCCCATGAACTACATCAGCAAGGCGACAGTTGCGCCTGTGGTGGAGCAGGGTGCTCAATATGATTGGGAGTATGCTGGCATCAACGAGGAGGAGGAAGCCATGGAGGCCATCCCACTGCCAGACGAGTTCGTGAGAGATGAAGCCCATGCTCGAGCTGATCGTCCGCGACTACATGGTTGGAGCAAAGTGGCCGACATGAAGGCCCGACTGAGAGAGCTTAATGAACCAGTGTATGGAGACAAGCATACACTGTGGACACGCCTCAAGAAGGCTGAATCAGCCCTCAATGCAAGAAGAGCAAAACTGAGCAAAAGCCCGGGACTATGTGGAGAAGCAGGGTGCACGACAACAAGCACTTCGAGAAGGACGAGAACCTGATGTGGCATTTGTCCCTGTGCCTCAGATGCCCGAGTCAGAGGAGGTGGAAAGACATCTGGCAACTCACATGCCACCAGCCCCTTGGTGCGAGTTCTGCGCGAGGGGCCATGCAATGGATGATCCTCACAAGCGGAGAACTACAGAAGAGAAGTTGGCGGAGAACCACTTTGAGCTGGACTATAGCTTCATCAAGACAGCATCAGTCTAGCAGCTCCCAGGAGACCAAAGACCAGCCGACCACCAGTAGTGAGGGCTATCCAAAAGCTGGTCCAAAAGCTGCTCCAAGTTTCACCATAAAACCAAAGTGGAACAGTCCACCTTGAACTCTTCATTGAAGTCCATGGAATCGAAAAAAATTTACTGTAGTCAGCAATGTTTGTTTCAGCTTTGGCATTCCATCAGCCACCTTGGCAGTTCATCAGCCAAGCTCTTTACCAAGGCTTCTTCAGGTCATTGCATCTCCTGCAGCCACACTGCTACCAGCTACCAGCCAAACC